ACCTGAAATTATACTAATCTTTTTCATGGAGATTGGGAGGTAGCTATGTGATCCTAATTGATGACTACATTTCAAAAGAAGTGGCTTCCAGGTCCTTGGGACACATCCTTAATTTAATAATGTTCAATTTGTTATTGTTGTTGTTATGTGCTGTCGAGTCGGACCTGACTCATAGCGACCCCTCCTTGGATTTCCAAGGCCATATCACTACAGAAGTAGATTGTCCAGCCTTCCTTCTGAGGAGTGGCTGGTGGGTTTGAACCACCAGCCTTCTGGTTAGCAGTCAAGTGCCTTAGGCACTATGCTACTAGAGCTCCCAATAATGCTCAAAGAGAAAGACAATTTACAATGACAAGTTTTCTAAAGTGAATGTTAAAAGAAAGGGGGAAATGGAGTCTCATCCCTTATTTTCAACAGAAGGAGTTAAAACTTCTCATTTTAAATTTATATTTGTTCTTACAATAACAGACATATCCCTCTCTCCTATCTTTTTACCAATTCTGACATCAGCCATCCCTCCTATGGTACTCTCTACTTGTCTTCTGGGTTTTAAAATTCCTTACAGTGGCCACACAGAATTCACAGACATTACTCACGATTATGGGGCTTATTAGGGAAGTAATAGGTTACAGTTCAGGATCAGATACAACTCAGAGTATAGTTCTTTGATCAGGGCATGTCTCAACTATGCCCACAGGCAGGCCTTTCCCTTGGCCCTTGGCTCCAGTTCTGTTGGACTGGCCTGGTCTCTGCCCTGTTAGAGCAAGTGTTAAAAAGCTCTTTAGCTCCACCAATAAGTGCCATACTCCACCAGTAAGCCTTGGCCCAAAGGCACTCAGCTTTCTTGCTCTGTAGGTCTATGAGCCTAGTTCCCTCAAGTGCTAGGAGTCACCTTACTCTGCCAACAAGCCTCCTGCCCCAAAACACTCAGCTTTTTCACTCCACGGGCCAGGGAGCCCACCACACTGTCTCCTGCTGGTCTCCTGGGTCTGCCATCTGTGCTGTTGCCATTTCTCGCCACCACTTTTTGCCGCTCTTGCCTTCTTCAGTGTTACAGCTCTTTGTCTCTTGGGTTTGGAGGTTTCCAGCACAGAGACCCTGGGTCCAAAGCATGCACTCCGTTCCTGTCTGCACTCTGTTCCTGTCTCTTCTTCTTGGTGGTAGTCAAGTCCCCGTCCCCCCGCTTTCCACCTCTGGGGTGGCCCATTTTAAGCCTAGCAAGGTGGCAAAATGGACCAATCCCCTCCTTTGGCTTTCATACAGCCAATTTGCATGGTCCCACCTCCACAAGGGTGCCATGCATCTTATTTGTCTTCTTAGCAAACTGTCCAGCCCCATTGGTGAGCCATAAGCATCTTATTTGCATAGTTCCACCCAATCATTTTGTTTTCATTTTTATTATTTATTATTATTTAAATTTTTATTGTGCTTGCAAATTTACATAGCAAACTTGTTTACATTCAACAGTTCATGCACATCTGATTTCATGGTCAGTTACCATCCCCAACCATAATCCACCCCGTCATTTGGTGGGAGTTCTAAGACCATGACTAGAAGAGCCATATAAAATTGATTCATCACACTGCAAGCACAAGGCCCCTCAAGCAGTGCTACCCTTGAATAGGTTTCTGGGAATATCAGTCACAATACAATGAGCCTTCATGGGTATCCAGGTGTAAAATGGCATAGAGGAAGCATTTGCTCTCCTATAACTTCATAAGGGGGGAGATGGATCAAGATCAACATCAACAACCCAAGGCTGATGCCTGTGAGGCAGAGGTCAGATGTGTCTCTACCCTCTAACCTTTTTACCAATTCTTATACCAGCCATCCCTCGTATGGCACCCTCTATTTCTTTGCTGGGTTTGATAATCCCTTGCAACGGCCATGCAGAATTCACAGACAATGCTCACAATTACGAGGTTTACTAGGGAAGTAATAGGTTATAATTCAGGATCAGGAACTCTTGGGATATAGTTCTATGATCAGAACAGTCTCCATTTGTGCCCAAAGGAAGATTTCTCTGGCCCTTGGCTCCTCAGCCTGGCCCCTGCCCTGCTTGGGCAAGTGTTACAAAGCATTTTTCAGCACTGCTGATAAATGCCTAGAGGCCCCTACTCCACTTTCTTGCTGCATGGGCCAGCTAACGTAGCTGCATGGATAAATGCCCAGAAGCATCCCGCTCCACCAGCAAGCCACTTGCCCAAAGGCACTCATTGTTTTTGCTCTGTAGGCCAGGAAGCCCACCGCTCTGTCTTTTGCTGGTCTCTTGGTTCTGCTGCCTCTGCTGCCACAGTTTCTCTGCTGCTGCCTCTCACCATCTCTGGTGTCACAATTCTCTGTCTCCTGGATCAAAGAGGTTCACAGGAAACTTGGGTCCAAAGGATGTCCTCTACTCCAGGTTCTTCTTTCTTAATAGTGAGATTCCCTCCTTCCTGCTTCTGGGATGGCTTGTTTCAAGCCAAGCGAGATGACAGAATTTACCAATCCCCACATTAGGGTTTCATACACCTTATTTGCATGGTTCCACCCCCACAAGGGTGCCACGCACCTTATTTACATCCTTAGCAAGCTGTCCCATCTCCTTGGTGGGTCACGAGCACCTTATATTTGCATAGTCCCACCCAGGCATTTGGTGAGAGTCACAAAGACCATGGATAGAAGGACAATTCTAAGCATCACTGCACTGCACCAGGTCAGCAGAGATTCAGGATTCCTGAGAGGACAAAGGTGCAGGACTGAGGTGGCCATGCTTACCAGTTCTGAGCAGCCATTTCAACCAAGAAGATGATGAGAAATGTGCATAGTGAGTGGTAGGGAGGAATCCTGTGGTCTGAGAGAGAACTCTTGTTATGATGGGTTGAATTGTGTCCTCCAAAACTATATGTTGTAAGTCCTCAGCCCCTCTTCCCGTTGTGGAATAGGACTTTCTTTGTTAATGAGACCATATCAGTCAGTGTAGAATATGTCTTAAAATCAGTCATCTTTGAAATATAAAAAGAGCAGATCAGGTACAGAGAAGCAAGCACAAATGGCGGGGAAGACACATGCCACATAAAGGTCACCAAGGAACTAAGGAACAGAAGCTGAAAGAGACAAGATTGTTGTTGGCTTCCTCCAGAGCCAACAGAGAGAAAGCCTTCCCCTACAGCTGGCACCTTGAATTCAGACTTCTAGCCTCCTAAACTGTGAGAAATTAAACTTCTGTTTGTTAAAGCCAGCCATGGTGGTATTTCTGTTACAGCAGCCCTAGATAACTAAGACAGGGCACCTAGGACTAATGTTCTTATAGTTTGCTGTGACTATCCCTGGTTGAAATCTATGATAGCCTCTCACATCCATGCTCACATCCATGTGGCTTTTCACAAAGAGGGAGTGACATTATCTCCATTTCACAAATGGGGAAACTGAGGCCCAGAGAAGGAACCTGGTTTGGCTAAGGTTTCAAAGGGGCACATTGAGAGCTAGAACCTGGATCTTCTCCTTTGGCCTCTTCCTAATGTCCTACTATACCCAGGGCCCAAAACTGAGGGGTTTGGAATGACCTGGGACCAGGAAGCAATGTTGGCTGCTATGTTTGTTCTGGCAAGTCACTTTTTGTTAGGAGTCCTTTAGCTGGTCCAGAAAATGAAGGGTTTGGGATAGTGGGTCATTAAGGGTTCTTCTGGGATCTTGAAATCAACACTGGATATAAAACATGTATTCAGCCTATTGCAAAAGTGTGGTGTGAGTTGCTCTTTATCTTGAAGCCAGGGTAAATGCGCCTCTGTTAGTACCAGCGTTTCCCTGTTCTCTCAGGGGAGGGGCTGCTAGAATCGGTGGTGAAGCTTGGCCCCCTGAGTCTTAATCTGAACACACACAGAAACTGCTCTCAGACCTCAAGAGTGTTTTCCCCAAAGCCTTGGAGGCCCCTATGCTAGGCTTTCTCTACTTGGAAAGGGGCTCTAATCCAGACAGGCCTGGGCTGCAGCCAGCAGCTGAAGTTTCCAGCAACAAGGCCAAAAGAAAATGCTTCGAGGCTGGTGGTAGCAGGTGACAGGCCTCAGCCCTCCCTCCCTGAGTCAGCTGACTTCCTGCAACTCATTCAGTCACTGTTTCACTGCTTGCCTTGGGGTTTCCTTAGCCTCTGCTCCACTGCTCCCCAGGCCTGGGGAAACCCAGAGTTGGCTCCTGGCCATACCCTGGGGCTTCAGAGGTAAATGTGAGGCCCCCAGGGTCTGAGATTGGGTTTCCATTTCCTGGGGAGATCTGCACGTTTATAGCAAAGGGCCCCTGGTTGTCAGGGAAACAGCAGGGTTTCCTGGAGCTGATGTGCTGTGGTTGCAGGCCAATCTCTGTCTTCTGCCTGTCACTCCAGTGCCATGCGTTGTCAGTCCTCTGCTGCCTGCAGTTTTGGGGACTCTAATCAGGCAGTTGAGACATATGGGTAAACACATCAAAGCCCCTTTCCTGAGAACATCTTACCTGAACAGTGAATGTTACCACTTACTAGGAAAGTATTTCATGCCTGGAGTCCCTGGTTGGTGCAAACAGTTAACTTGCTCAGTTGCTAATTAAAAGGTTGGTTTGAGTCCATCCAGAGGTGCCTCGGAAGAAAGTCCTGGTGCTCTTCTTCCAAAAACTCAGCCGTTGAAAAGCCTATGCAGTACAGTTCTACTGTGATGCACATAAAGTCACCATGAGTTGGAATTGACTCAACAGCAACTGGTTTATTTCATGCCTGGTCTTGTATGCTCTGCCTTTGTCATACGTTATCTCATCTTTCAACAACCCAGCAGAGTAGGAAAGAAAAACCTTGATTCTGTGTTTGAGATAATCTTAATCAGACCAAGGTCATATAGCTAATAAGTGGCAAAACAGGGATTTGGTTCTAGGTCCAAATCTGTCTTCTCCCCACTGTACCACACCATCTCCAACAACCTTGTCTTAGCTGTCTAGTGCTGCTGTAATAGCAATACCACAAGTGAGTGGCTCTAACAAACAGAATTTTTTTTTTTTTTTAGACTACTAGCATGTATTTAAAAAACAAAAGCAGCATTAACAGAGCATATATCTTTCAAAAAGACTAAAACACTAACAAATACAAGTTTTTGCACATATTTTAAACTAGTGTAATTTTATCTACATTGGAGTAAATGTTATTTTGTATACCAGACATTGCAATACTGTTCATTTCCATTTCATCATGCAAACATGCCAATTTTGACATTAAAAAGCCTTTATTGGGTCATATTTACTTTGCCCTTCCACCTAAATTAAGGGGAAAAAAACAAAACAAAAGCAAAAAATAAGAAAACTCAAATAGAGTCTCAAGATTTTATAAACAACTGTTGTTAATATGGAAATGGAAGAAGTTTCAGATTTCTATTTTAAAAAATTCATGTATTTTAGGCAGATGTATTCCTCACCAGTACAAAATTTTAAAACACAATCAATCTACTGCCATGCTACTCTGAAATTTGTACCAACCGTACAAAAACAAGATGCAAAGGACCATGAAAAAATTTCTACATTCCTCATGGCCCAAGAGCATACAAATTTTTGAGTAATTTAAAAAGATAACTTTGAAAACTTGACATTTTTCTCTATGCCACCTCTTCTGACTTTCTTTCCAAATTAGACTTGTAGGATTTTTAAATGAAAACCAGTCACATGGTAACAGCAGAGGTCTCGCTTATCTCCCCCTTCTTCTCTCAACTAATTTTACTCAATTTTCTCTCATCTTCCTGAGTGTTTTCCATGAACAGCATTGCAAGTTGGTTAAAAAAAAAAAAATAAAAATAAAGGAAAAGAAAGAAAGTTTTACAAGGGTTTTGTTGGTTAATTATTTACCAGTGGAGTCACTCCACCAGGAGTTTGATTTCATTGGCTAGAAGCTGGTTCATGTTGAACAGGCCCCCTGGGAGCTTGGTAAGCAGCTCCCGCTCCGTGCTTTCAGGGTCGCTGTCAACAGAGCTGGAACTCGCACTCATGTTGTCGACAGCAGTGCTGGTTGGGGGACCCAGCTCCGGCTCACTAGTTTCACTGGCTGTGGACACCACCGAGAGCAGGGACATACGCCGGGTGAGCCGGCCAGAGGGCAGAAGGGAGGCGGCATAGTCCGCTATGATACCAGCTACATCTAGATTACAAGCCTTATCAAAGGCGATGAAACCTACATTTGCATTGGCTTCACAGACACAGAAGGAGCCGTCATCTTTCATCAAGAGGTCAATGCCACACACATCCATCCCCAGGATATTAGACACCTGGATAGCTAGCTGCTTTCCTTGTTCACTCAATGAGCACATCATCCCCACACCACCTGGCAAAAGAGAAACAAGTTACCCAAATGATAAAATTTTTGGAGTAAAATTAAAGCTAGTCTCCAAGGCTAATCCTCTCTTCTAAATCAGCAGTGAAAGATATTATTTAGTGTAAAACTGGGACTATGAAATCTGGGTTTTCTTCATTTGGGAATCCCCTCCCTACCCATTTTTTTTAAAGAACCAATGACTTAGATCCAGAAACTTCTACTTGTGACGTCCTATCTGTATCCTACATATTTATTTGGTACTATTATACCCTTACTCCTCGTTTCACAGGAAGATGAACACTGGAAAATGATGTAAAAAGTATTTACTTTTTCATAGTTGTGAATGAATGTTGATAAGAATAATTCCTAAAGGACAATAATTTACTAGCTTCCTGAAACTTGGAAAGACTGATATAATATGCGTAAGATCTGACCAAGCTGTGTGACTTCACACATTCTATAAATATAAAAGGGGAAGAAAATAGATGTAACAGCATGAAAACTAGAAAACAGAAGAAATGGATAAGCACTCGGCTACAACAAAAGATTGCCGGCTCAAGTCCACCAAAAAGCAAAATGTCAGAATCATTGAAAAACTCACCTTAATTTTCTAGAAACTAAAAGTAGCATTAACATTCTTTATAAACTAAAAGCTCTTTCAAATCAACGAAGAAAATTAAATAAAAATATATAGATAAATAATTCACAAAAAGAAACAAAATGGCCAATAAACATCTAAAAATACATGCAACCTTCAAATAAGTTCACTGATCAAAAGGGCTCAAAGTTGATTAAAAAAAATATCTAAAAATATCTCGATAAAATTTTACAGCTCTACAACAACTAACAACATGAAGAAAAAACAGAACAAATTTTCAGGCAAAAGGAATAAATCACCTACAAAGGAAAATTTTATATAAGAGTAGATTTAAACATTGAATTTCAACAATGAAATCTAAGAGGCAGCAGAAGTGAAGCCAGACTCTTACAACCTAAGAATACTATCTTGGCCAAGATATTAGTCTCCCTCGAGGAGAAATACCTGAGAAGGTAGCTATCAGTCATATATCCCATCCAGGAATAATAATCAAGAAAATACACACACAGAACAAATGACTTAGAATAGAGATATGAGAAGATGAAGATGAGGAGGAAACAGTGGTGAGTAATGAACCCTGCAATATGCTGTTGCTGTGCTATCAAGATGGTTCCAAATATAACAAAACGAAAATCGCCCAGCTTTGCAACTTCCTCACAATCATTGCTATGTCATTTGAGTAAAACAGTATTATATTATTCATTATATTGATGACAGGTCTATAAATCACATTTACATGTGAAAGACAATGTGCTTTTCAAATTACTAAGTAAAAAGATCAACAGATACATATGAATATACACAAGTATCTGTATTGTTTTTACCTAGTGAGCAGTTGCTTTGCATCCTCCCATCTGTTGAACAACGTAACATGGTGCCAACCACACGGCCACCCACAACAATGACACGTACATCCCGTCCATGGGACTCTTTAACATACTTCTGAAACAGGTATGGAGCTTCATGGCGAATAAGATGGCTTAGATCAGCCAAATGATGCTTATCTCGAGCCAAGAAAACAGCTTTGCCTCTATGACCCCGTGTATTCTTCACTACCATTGGGAACTCCAATACTTCTGCTTCATCAATCATTTTAGCAAAATTTTCATGGCCACCATAAGAGAAAGTATCTGGCAGAGGAACACCATGGCCAGCCAACTCTTGAAATGTCCAGAACTTATTAACACAGTTCAAGATGGCTTGAGGCCGGTTCATCAACCGACATCCCATCTTCTCTAGGTGGCGTAAAACAGTAATGTCACTATCACTTTGTACCCAAGGGGTTGGTACTCTTACTACCACCACCTGGGGGTAGGCAGTGATTAGTTCTCCATTAATCCGTAGACCCAGATTCCCCTGCTCAATTGTCAGCACCACCTCATCCATCACCACAGCCCTAAATTCCAGTTCTTCCTCACAACATTTGGCCTTCAGCGCTCGTAAGATCTCTTTCTGAGGATAGTCTTCCCTGATGCAATGATCTGTCAAAAACCACAACTTGGCAGCCACAGAGCTACACATCTTGATCTGCTTGTTCTTCTTTTTTCTGGATTAGTTTCTCTTGAATGTGAACTCTATATGGCTGTGGGGCTAGCAAGGTGAGGTGGAAATCCGTAGGGCAGGCTGTTGAAGGAAAGAAGGCTGGAATTCAGGCTTGGAGTTGAAGCTGCAGTCCAAACAGAAATTTTTGAAGGCTAGAAGTCTGAATTCAGAGTGCTTGCTCTAGAGGAATAGGAACTCTGGTGGCATAGTGATTAAAGCATTTGGTTGCTAACCAAAAGATTGGTGGCTTGAACCCACCAGACGTTCTGCAGGAGAAAGATAAGGCAGTCTGCTTCTGCAAAGATGTAGTCTTGAAAATGCTATGGGGGAGTTCTACTCTGTCCCAGAGGGTCACTGTGAGTTGGAATCAACTCTATGACAGTGGGTTTTAGTGGCTCTAGAAGAAGGTTTTTGCTGTCTCTCGGCCCTGTGGGAAGGTCCTTGGCTCCTCAGTGATCTTTATGTGGTGTGGTATCTATCTTCCCCCATCTCTGCTGCTTTTCTGCCTTGCTTAATCTGCTCCTTTTAAGTCTCAAAAGAGATTGACTCAAAATACACCCTACATTAATACTGTCTCATTAACATAACAGAGAAACTCCATTCCCGAATGGGATTATAACACTGAGTCAACTCAGACTCATAGCCACTGTTTTGGTTACCTAGCGCCACTCTAACAGAAAATACCACAGATGGGTGCCTTTAACAACAGGAATTTATTCTCTTAAAATTTTGGAGACTGGAAGTCCAAGTTCAAAGTGCCAAGTTCTAGGGGCTAGGTGAAAGCCCTTTGACCTTGGGCTTCAGCTCTGACTCTTGCTGCTGGCGCACTGGAGCTCAAGGTATCTCTTCACTCAGGCTGGCTGCTGAGGCTGACAAACTCAAGGTCGGTAAGTAAAAAGGCACAGTCCCAATATTACCAAACAACACAGCAGGTCACTGATTCAAGTCCAGAGACAGTCCTAAGATCGACAGATAACATGGCTGCTAGGTGAAGACTTGGCTACATGCAGGGTCCAAGCATGCCATAAAGCTGCTGACCATTCCCAAAGTTTCTCCTTATAAACTGGAAGCAGAGCACATCCCTGAAGCAGCTACTCAGCTGCTCATGGCAGATGCCACATGGAGTTGATTGCCTGTCTCATCAGGGGGAATAACTGCAACCAGTTGCCCAGCCACTCAAAACCACGCCCAGCCTAGATGACACATAACCTTAACTACCACAGCCACCCTATAGGGTAGAGTAGAACTGCCCTCATAGCATTTTTGAGGCTATAATCTTTACAGAGGCAGACTGCCACATCTTTTCCTGTGGAACAGGATTCTAACCTCTGACCTTTCAGGGAGCAATTGAGCACTTCAGCCACTGCACCACGAGGGCTCCTTAACCACAGGTATAGTTGTTAAGATGTACAACACATTTTGTTGTTGTTGTTGTTGTTGTTACGTGCTGTCGAGTCAGCCCTGACTCATAGCGACCCCTCCTTGGGTTTCCAAGGCAGTATCACTACGGAAGTAGATTGCCTCATCTTTCTTCCAAGGAGTGGCTGGTGGGTTTGAACCACCAGCCATCTGGTTAGCAGTCAAGTGCATTAGGCATTATGCTACCAGAGCTCCCACAACACATTTTAGGGGGATGCAATTCAATCCCTAACAAACCTCAAAGGCCAAGAAGATTGTGGATTGAGGTCAGGGGCTGATTTCCCCAAGAGTGGTGGGTGCCTGCTTTGGTAGAGAAGTAAAGAACTAGAAGCACTGAGCTGAAAAGTCTCCTTGGTTCTGCTGTCTCTTCTGGTTCAGTTCCTTGAAGACCTCACTGAATAAGTTCAGTTGAGTTTTTTAATTTTATTTTTTAAAAGTGATGCATAGTCATGGTTTTTTAAAATTACACAGACCAGCTTCAAATGGGAAGCAGTGGTCCTTCATTTCTGCCCCACTTGTCCTCAGAGACAATCCCTTTTAACTCTGCTGTCCTGAGGGTTCTCCTGAGCCTCATCTCCCTGCCCCTTTCCAAATCAGTCACATCCCTTTTGGCTTTTCTTTTTTAGGTAACATATCTTTGTTTCTTGATCCTTCACTGTAGACCCCATCTCCTATGACTCCCATACAGATTCCTTTTCTATGAGATGTAAGTCAATCATGTCCCCTGTTTGTTCAAAATCCTCACAGTGGTCTTCTGTCCCATCAGAAAAATGCAAAGTTTTTTAAAGTGACTTTTAGACACTGGCCCCTGCTGCCCCCTCCCTACATCCCACTATTGTCAGCCCCCCACCTTGTGTACACCAGCCAAACTGGGCTCTGGTGGTCCTCAATCCTGCCAAGCATGCTCCCATCTCAGGGCCTTTGCACTTGCTATTCTTGTCCTAGATCACACTGCCCTCAAGTATCCCTGTGGCTCATGTCACCTCTGAAAGACCTTCTGACCACCCTACTTCAGATAGGAATCCCCTTCGCACTCAGCCCTCACCAAACTTTATTATTTTCTCCCCAGTTCTTTTTATAGCTGGATGTGTGCATTTTTAAAAAAGATACTATTCTTCTCACATTGTAAACTCCAGGGAAGCAGGGTTTTCTTTTATTCATTTCTGCATCTTCAGTGCCTAGAACAGTGTCTCAACAGGGAGTAGGTGCTAAATAAACATTTATTGACTTAAACAGGAGAGGCCTTCAAATATTTGCACCAGGTGACTTGTGTCTCTTTGAACCTTCTCATCTACATATTGTTAAGCCCTGGGTTCTGAAACCATTTTTAATGACTTGGAGAGAGAGTGTGCATGATTCAAATAGTATGGATTATGGAATCTGGAAATAGTTGACTTCTATTCTAAGCTGTGTGACTTTGGGCAAATTATTTAACCTCCTTGAGCCCATACTCTTGGTCTCCTTACCTATGAGAAAAGGGGAATTTGATGCCTAGAAGGAATGCTTTGAGGATTCAGTGCGAGTAGGTCTGAAAAGTGTGTGCACAGCCTGTGTGATCAGTGGCTGTGCCCTCTCTCCCTCTTGGCTCCAAGTCTCTTTCCCACCTTAGTTGCTAATGTTGAGGCACTGTCTTATCTATGATGCATTATCCTCTGAAAAATGCACCCAGCCCTGAGTCAAGTCTTTGGGTATGACTTAACCTGGAGGACTGAAAAACTGCAGAGAATGCAGTGGAAGGAAGGAAGGAAGGGTGAGGAAAGTTGGGGGAAAGAATGAAGGGGAGCAGAGAGGGAAGGAATCTTATGAGTCTCTTTCTTCTCCACAGTGCTTTCTGGTGCAGAACCTGAGACCATGGCCAAACCAGCACAGGTAAGGAGCTTGTCCCCTCCTAATGGCTGTGCTCTGCCTTCCTTGTCCCTGGACTCACTCCCTTTGGAGTCTCCAGGTCTGCTGTAGAGATTTCTAGTACTTTTAACTTAAAAGAAGCAGGAGAGTCAGCCTACACAGAACTATGAGACCAGAAGAACTAGATGGTACCCGCCTCCCACTGTTAACCACTTGGAAAGGGATCAGAGCAGGAGATCCTGGGTAGAGTGGGAGAACAATGTGGAACAAAATCAAAATTAAAAAAAAAAAAAAAAGAAAGATGAGGTTTGCTGGTCTGATAGAGCCTGGTGAGACTCCTGAGTCTATGGTCCCTAACTACCCTTCAGGTCTGGAATTGAACTCACTCCGTGGCTTCCAGCCAAACAATAGACAGGCATATGGGGTGAACATTTTTGTCAGGTAGATACACTACATGGAGCGATCAATCATGGGAGAACAGAAGGGCAGTGTTTGCACAGGGAGACAGTTCAGGGGTGGGAGTGCATGGGAGGGAAGGATACAGGGAAGTAGGAACTATGAGGAGAAAGTGGGAAGAGAGCTGCTACCTTGTGGGGAATTGCAGTCAGTGTCATGAGACAAAATGTTTATGAACTGCTGTATGGAAAATGCTCTGTAAACTTTCACCCAAATCACAATAAAAATTAAAAAATAAAAAAAGAGCAGGAGAGGTTCTTAGGCCCAGCTAACTCCTATTACAAGGCACAGCTCTTTCAGATACAAATGACTGATAACAACACACAACATCTTAAGCAGAAAGGGATGTGTATTGGCTCTCATGATTGAGAAGCCCTAAGCTTCAGGTTTGGCTGGATCCAGGGGCCCAAATGATGTCAGGATTCTGCTTCTGCCAGCTGAGCTTTCTCCGGGTAGCTTCATTTTGGACAAGCCCTTACCCTGCTTTGGCGGACTAGCCACAAGCAGTTCTAGACTTTCATTCCACACTGTTGGCAGGCCCAGGGGAAATAACATACCCTATTCCCAACAATTCCAAGGGAAGTTCCAAGTTTGATTCTCATTGGCTAGGGCTGGGTCATGTACCATCTCATGGAGCCAGGCAGCAGAGTCAGCCCTACCTGAACTGCATGGTCCAAGAGTCATTCCCCCAGAAAGTGGAATGGATACTGGACATGTAAAAGCCAGAGAGGGTCCTTGCAACTGGAGGTGGCAATGTTCTTTGTCCACCCATTTGGGTTTACATTTCCCCAAGAAGCCTTGGGAGATGATAACCTCAATCTTCCATGCTGATGACCAATTTGCTGAGCAATAAAATTATCAGAGCTTTACTCCTGTGTGTGGCCAGGGTTACATTCTGGTCATCTCAGAGTTAAAGGGTCACTCTGTGCCAGAGTGTGCCGGAGAGTGATCCCTTTTTGCTAGTGGTATGGATTGAATTGTGTCCCCAAAAATGTGTTGTAAATCCTAACCCCTATAAACCCAACTAAACCTCATTTTCCTTGGGTCTATTCCAACTCATAGCAACCCTATAAGACAGAGTAGAATTGTCTCATAGAGTTTCCAAGGCTGTAATCTTTGTGAAAGCAGACTGCCACATCTTTCTCCCACAGAGTGGCTGGTGGTTCAAAGTGCCAACCTTTCAATTAGCAGCCAAGCGCTTTAACCACTGTGCCACCGGGGCTTCTATAATCCCACTTTCGGATATGTTTTCTTTGTTATGTTAATAAGCCAGGATTAGTATAGGGTGTGTTTTGGGCAAATCTCTTACGAGATAAAAAGCAGATGAGGA